TACTATTTTAAAGCCAAGTGAAGTATAAAACATATATTTGTGGATAAATGAGTTTAACTTTTGTAGAATTTAAGATTTTTTCAGAACTAAATTTTTTATTATTAATACTCGTCTTAGTACTTTTGTTTTCCTGGTGGTGCTTTTTTAATTCACTGGAATACGTTCTTTCTGGGCAATTTTTGTTGTTGTTGTGTGTGTCCGTGTTTTTATTTTATTTTATTGTGTAATTTTAAGAGAGTTTAATCCAGTGTCCGCTAGGTGAGATAATATTTCTTGATACCACATAAATTGTATGTGTTTAAGCCTAACTTTTATTAAATTTAAAAGTGAATACGAATCTTGAAAAGCAAAATGGTAAAAGACGATGATAGAAAAGTTTTATGGTGTGGTAATCTGTCTGAAAAGGTTTCTGAAGATATGTTGTATGAGTTATTTTTACAGGTGAGAAAAGGATTTGTCTTTTATGTCTGTGCACTTAAGCAGTTAAGGCTAGGTTTAAATCATTTAGCCTAACATTAGGCCTCCTGATAATATCACGTGCTGTAGAAATCAGCCAGTCTCGTCCTTTTTTAGTCATTGTAACTTATGTTACGCAAGTTTACACTGTGCGAGAAGGTCAAAGAGCGAAAACAGTAACTGTAAAGGGTTAGTGTTAGGTACATTTGACGGGATTTTTCCGTAGAAATAACGATATGTGACATCCAGAACTTCTTTTTTTTTTTTTTATTCTTCACAAATAGCCAAACATTTAGTTTGAACCTTTTGTTAACTTCTCAAAGTATCATCGTCACCACACTCATTTGCAGTCACGCTCTAAAGGTTAACTCTGCATACTCTACACAACACTAATATTAATAATAATATACACGCTACACAAAATAGAAAGTCTATTCAAAATTCTGTACCATAAGAGCATCACTTTACTGTTTACATGTAAGGAGTAGACTAGCCCATTAACGATTAATTTCAACATATGAATTTGAAATAGCTTTGTAAACTAAAGACATTAATTTTGGGAAAGCCTTTTTATTAAGGAGTCCCAGAGAATTATACTTTCTGTTCACAGAGATATGTGAATGCAAAATCACAGTTGCAAATATATACTAATTATTGTACACCAAATGACAAATGAAAAATGTCTACAGGTCTAATACATGCTGAGTTTGCATGATTTATTTCAAGGCATCTATACTCTCACTAGTTGAAAGTCAGATTTAAAAAAATAGCGATGATTCCTAAACCTTTCTTCTGCCATTTGGCAGCTACCAGTGAGCAAATGTTAAAACTAAAAACAGGATGTTGGTTCAACTTTGGTGGACCAATAAAGATCAATGATACATCAAATGATAACTCTCTTCATGTTCTACTTGGTTTCATTGGATTCAGAAGCATTTTCTTTATGAAAACACAAACAAAACTTTAAAACTATTTATAATTATTTTTAGCCATACTATAAACTGTGTTGCATATTCCATAATGCATAAACCGATATATAGATATTCTGACTAACTTGAACCGAGAGCAAAAATTGATGAATGGGGATTGTAAGCAAACTGAATCCATGTGTATGAGTTTGAAATTGATGATTTTATTGGGACTACATTTTATCTTGTCTTGACACAGGTTTCATGCATTCTCAGATTACCAGGTAAAGTGATAATTTGATATCAGTCAGTGACATTTTGTTAGCATTGTCCCAATGGAAGGGTTGTGTGGTGTGAAAGGTTGATTTACAGGTACGATTTTTAATTGGTTTTCATAATTAATTACATAATTAAACTTGCAGTGTAAGTCTACTAACTTGTGACTGTGGAATCCAATGGTGTGTGAATTTTTTGTTATTTTCATTATTTAAAAATCACTGAAACCCCATATTTTTATGGTGCTTTATCAAACTTGTTCTCCTTCACAGTATCCAGCTTCACTAGTTTGGCATTTGATTCTTTCGAGTGCAGTTGAAGTTTCTGTACTTTTGTCAGCCCCATTTTCATCAAAGAGTTCTCTGTTCATCACTGTGAAAAAACACACAAATGAATAAAATTTGACTTGATTTATTTTGATAAGATATTAAGTATATTATATGGACAACAAGGGCCCATTTGGTTCTTATTGCCTGTCAAAACACCCACCCTTAGAAAATAAAAAATAAAATGTGTATTTTGTATACATATATAAGAAGGAACAGTTTGTGATAATTTCAGTTTAAAATTCATAAGATTCTAAGTATTTAACTGTGGAAAATATTCATTTTACTAAAAATTTAGAAAAAAATATTGCTCACTGCGAACCTATGTTTGGTCAAATAACCATTGGGGCCTGGCTGTAGAATTAAAAAAGTAAACATGAGTGGATTTTTCAACAAATGATAAGATCAAATTTCTACCTAATACAAGGGAAACTGGAAATGGCTAAGAGGAACTTTTAATAACCAGTTCATTGGTTGGTTTGCAGTATCAGAAATAATATTAAACAGTGTAAGATATTTTATTACAACCAAGAATAATTTAAGAGTAGAATTTAGGGTGATTAATCTGTGACCTCAGTATATGTATGTACTGGCTTTTTTTTTCTATATTGAGGCTCTTTTCATCTTTGGCTCTTTTTAACATCTTAAAGCAATTTGAGTGGACGATGCTGTCACACTCAGCTTGGGTGTGCTCCAGTGCACTTGATCTATTTGCATATTCCCTCACTGTGTTAATAGTTTTTTCTTTACTAGTACCAATATAACCATCTGCAAATACAGTTGAAATGTATTTTTAAATCAAATAGTTGTAAAATAGATTTTTGTTTTAAGTTTAAGGATCATATTGCTTCACTGAAATCATCACGTTGTTCAGAAAGTTACTTGCCTTTGCTTTTAGCATGGTTATATTGGCTGTACTAAACTAAAACTTAACATGCATTAAGGAACATGCAAATTTAAGGTCTGCAAAGAGATCAAGCTTACTAGGACATGTAGTCATTCAATCTCATCGTTTAAACATTTTCAGAAGGGACAATGATGAACAGAGCTTTGTATAAAAGAGAGCTCGATCATGTACCAACTAAGGCTGAAGATTAATGAAGTAAATTCTGCTTTTAAATTATTTTTGGTTTTATAACCATAATCATCATGCTGTAAGAATTTTATACTCCTGATTCTTATATTGCCATATTAACACACTCCTGTGCTGTGCCTTTTACAATATGTGAACATACTCTTGCTTGGTTCTTTGAAAGTAAAACACTATAATATTAATCAGTTAAAATATGTTTACATTATAACTATGCATTGAATGATCAAAAGGTTGAGTTCTTAGCCATGGGTATGGACATTTCTGACACAATACCCAGAAAAGGGGATAGTCAAAGTTTTTAAAAGATTTCTAATGCAAAAAGAAAAAAGAACTTTGAAATTATAGGCTGTGAAATCCATAAAATAGGAGTTTTTTTTTGGTCTGGCCTAATCTTACTTTTTTAATGATAAACAAAAATTACATTTAATGCAGTTCATGAGAATTGATCATCCATGCAGATAGTCATTCTTCTCTTGTCACAGGGTAGAAATAGTTTTTTGTGTGAATTCCACACACCATTAGGAAATTTGGGGATTTTGTCCCCCCCCCCATCCCCACCCATGTAGTCGTTCTTTACTCTATGATGATACTTCTGCTATTTTTCTTTCACTTATGCAAACAACAAAACCTTATCACCAAAAATGTAGCAAAATGAAATTCTTATGATACCATTGTATTCTTCAATCTATCAATATTTTTTTCTTTTTTGTATTTCAGTTTTAAGAATTTTGAATAAGATTTGCAAATAAATTACATAAAGCAAGTTATCAGGAAATGGGATTCCACATATGGTGGGAGCATGCATGTGAAAAACTGTTCCTACTCTTAAGTAGAGCTGGGTGATTAACTCAATCAAAATAACTGGTTAGTATGATGTGAATGATTGGTTAATCTTTCAGCACAGGGCTCAGTCTATACCACTCTGTGTCAAGTTCTTCTGATTGCTTCTTACTGGGCAGCTCAGCTGTGGTTTTCTCGACTTATCGAGCTACAACTTAACCCTCCACTACCTTTTCCTCTGTCCCCCTCCCTTATTCGGCAACCTTGGTCATCAGTACTTCATCCCGCTCTTCCTGTCCTCTGTCTTCATGCTTGGTTTTATCAAGTCCTTGGGGAGAAATCAGGCTTGTCTCGATGTGTAGCTTCATTTCTGGCCCGTTCTAATTGCCCTTCCTCTATAGAAATTTATCAGTGTAAATGCAACATTTTCCACAGTTGGTCTCTGGGCCGGGTGTTTTCAGCTGATCAACCCACTGTTCCTCTTATTGCTGAGTTTCTTACTTAGCTTTTCGATTGGGGGATCCTCTGTCTCCTCAATTTCTGGTTATCAGGCGGTTTTGTCACACACTTCATTTTTCCTGATACCGTACAGTATTTACCTCACCCACTCTCTCCCTGTTGATACGTTCCTTCTGGATTCATTGTCCTCTGTGACAGGCTGTCTTTCCAGACTGGGATGTTAATGTGGTCCTCCATTGCCTCATTTTGCCTCTGTTTGAACCACTTTCCATGTGATCCTTGCTTCATCTTTCCCTTAAGACTTATTTCCTTCTCCTCATATCGTGTGGAAGTTGGCAGTCTGATTTATTTTCCATCAATGTTTCACGTACTCTTTATCATCCTACATATCTTCTCCTTTATCCAGATTGTTCTTTCCTCCCCAAAACCTCGGCAGCTAGGGAAAGTAACTCCTTCTTTTTGCCGATTTCCCTTCCTTCCTTCCATTTTCCACATTTATCATCGGTCTAATTTGGATAGACCGTTATGTCTTGTATAGGCTCTTCAATGTTATATTGCCTGCATGGTTTCCATTCGTGGTGCTTGTTCCTACCTTTTTATCTCTTGGCAACCATCCTCTGTTCATGATCTTTCTCCTTCCACCCCCACCATTTGGGTTTGGCTTTTGATTTGATTGGCTTACTCCTCTTTTTTGTCATCCTTCCTCCCATCCTTTGTTACAGGTATCTTCTCATCAGATTTGAACCTTACCTTTTCTCTGCTATCTCATCTTCATCGTCTGTTGGAGGAGCTTCTTCAATTGAGAATGTAGACTACTCCTAATACGTTCATCTCTCACTAATTGCATACAGTTGCAGTTGTTTTTTAATTCTTTAATTTTTTTCAGTGGCCTCAATCCCCCTTTTCAGGGTAATTACTCATTGTTTGGATCCCAGGTATTCTTTTACATTTAAAATCTGCACTGTTCAGCCATGTCAGTTTATTATGTTCCATGGCCACCCAATGCACACTGTTGAGATAGGGTTTTCCACAAGATCACTTGAAGGTTATCCTCAAGATGGAATTGCTTCATAAATATGCCCGTCCCAGACCATACCACCCATGAACTATATGGGTAAAGCAGAAGGGGATAGCTGCCCATCCCTGACATGCCTTGTATTGAACAAATTGGTATGGTCTGCTTTTAAAAATAATGTTTTATGGTCACTGATTGCACTGTCTCAGGTGATGTCCACCACGTTTCACCCCCCTTTTCTTCTAGTTGAAATTGGGAGTCCTTTCCAGTTTCAAGCCGCTGGGGTGGTGGACTGTGGAGGCATCCTCCTGATTGGTTTAATGAAATGAAAAATCAATACAGAAATACCATTCAGAGTAGGGCAGTGGTGTTCTGCTGGTGTAGATGATGTGATATCCTCCACCATAAAGCACATGAAGACCAAAGGAGTGAGACGTTAAATTGCAGTTCACCCCTTAGATTGGAATCCCTCTTCTTACCAGTTCCTACCTGTCAGTTCCCAGTGGTTGGATTATGGATTTAGAGTAGAACCAATCATCATAAGTCCTCACACGTGTATTGTGGATTCTCTCTTCTTCCCTCAGTTATACTCCATCTGTGTGTCGTGGGTCATGGTGGAAGATCTTGGGATTTTTTTACGGTTCTTTCGTGTCTGTCCTCCCTCGTGGGATCTTATTCCGAAGATGTTGTTGCACCTGGGTTGGTTCAGTCAGTTTCGCTGTTGAGGGGGTTTATTTCTTTATGGTATACATCTTTTCAATACCGTATGTCGGGTTCCCAGATTGATATATCATTTTCTATTCTTAACATGTGCCATGTTCCAGAGTTAGGAGGGTTTGAGACTCTCTTCGGTGTCTTGAACTTGAGGTGAAGACAGTATGATCCTCATTGTACCTCTGCGTGGATCTTGGTTCCCCACAGCATGGGTTGTAGATGTAGTTGATTTGCCGAGTGTGGTCCGTCGTGCACAAGCCATTCTACACCTGGGGGCACTTTCATTGTTTTTACCCACTTGGATGTGCTCTTCTGTTTTTCTGCCCATATAACCACACCTTTCTCTGATGGGCAAAGAGTATACCTGGTTCAGACGTAAAGCGGTCTCCCACATCAAATGTTCAAATCTGATTCTCTTTTCTTAAGGTATGTCCTTTGGAAGCTTTCAAAGGATGCTTCTTTTCTTCCCTCACATCAGTCCATCCACCTATTTAATGTGTTATTCTAGCTATTTATGTGAGTGGAGGTAATGTACTGTATCGAAAGTTATAATTTTCCTATACTGAAAATGTATTTCCCGTAGGTACTTATCTCCTCTCACACTTCCCACCCTTTCTCCTCAGTAAAAATCAGGGCTTCCATTTTCTGCCAAATCCCGAAGTGATAGTCTGCTAGAATTGAATAGAAGGAGTCACATGCATAATGAGAATGTGTGGTACTCTCATTGGTAGAATGTTATTGGATAATAATTTGCACGAGAGACACATTGGAATGAATCATTTCCAGTAGAGGGGAGGAAGAAGGCTTGCGGGATACAAGAATAGCTATTTATATGAGCGGAGGTAAGTACCTATTGGAAATACGTTTTCTGTATAGGAAAATTATAACTTTAATTCATGGCAGCATTAAATTGAACAATGATTCCATTATGTTTGTGCATGTAGTATTCCACATGATGCTGTGTAAAATCCTAATAACTAAATGCTAAAAACCACAAAATATATGAATAGTTTAGATGCACAATCTTCATTTCTGACAAAATTAAGCTGCCATTGTTATTATACTGATAGATGTGCAGCAGCTTGACTAAAACAAAAAGGCCAATTAATACAAGTTTTTTCCAAAAATAAAATAGATTTTGTAAAATTTTAAATAAATAATATTTAGGTTTTTAATTGTTTCATTTAATAAATAGCCCACTTTTAATTTTATAGAATTATTAAAGCTGTCCAAAAAAATCATTTTCTCAAAATGGAAAAATTGGATGTCCAGTATTTTGCATCTTGACCCTTTCGAGACGGGTCATGGGTGAAAGGCCATGTCATCTTTGTTGACTTGCATTCAAAATTTTATTGAACTACTATTTCATGAATTTATGTCGATAAGTTTGGTATCAAGCTGTAGATTATAATTTAAATTTTAAAACTATACATTACTCAATTTCTTCACTTAAAAGTAAATATTAAGAAACACAGATAAACATTGATTTTTGTGTGTCATGTGGTATGTTGAATGCAGCACTGGTTCAAATTAGATGTTTGTGAAGTCAAAATGCTAAGTCCATAGTTTCGTATTAATTAGAAACTCAAATTACCAATATTGACAAGCTAGAATATAAAATAAGAAAGTATTATCCTTTTTATTTGCTAAGATATTGCTCATGTAATAAATCAAACACAGTGGCACCTTACCCACCTCTTTCCATTTTTGTAAATGCTCCCTTATATACACTTACTTCTATATATGACATGAATAACCAAATAGAAGCTCAGAATGTCCCCCTAGTGGCTTTCTCAGGTATTTTAATGGACTTGGTGCCATTTCTTTGTTTTAACCAATATTTCAACAAGGTAGGGTGTGTCTTTAGTCTGTTTGAAATTTCATATTTTTTTAGACTAAAATACATCGTAGTTACTAAACTTGATAAATTCTAGTAGAATTCTATGGTATTGATGTAGTAATTTATGATTTTTTAGTTATTCAAATGTATATATAAAACCTAGAAAAAATTATTTTGTTTCATATCCTGCAAAAGTTTTAAAGACTTACAAGCTACGACAAGCAGCAGCCGAGTACAAAGTTTGGAATTAAATGAGATAATTGTTTGCTTTACTTCTTTATTTACTGTTCTATGTTTTAAGAGAAGTAAGTTTAAAACTTATTTCAAAATAGCAATAATCTAAATACATATATCATGTATAATAATTGAAATGTGACTGCATTTTACAAAATACTACTAAAACATAGCCAATACAAGTTACTTTGTACAGACCAAAGGTCAGTTTTATGTTTTAGGATATGGTAACATGAGTGCATGTGTGCCACGCCATTATAACTTCTGTATTGCTAGCCGGCCACGCCCAAAGGGTCATTATAATAAAAGTAAATATATATATATATATATATATATATATAAATGTATAAGGTTATGAGATTTAAGCTATTTAGTCTAAACAATTAGGGTTTCGTGTTATAATTTATGTTCATTCTAGAATGAAAGAAGCATAATTTATATTTATTTCCTAATTGTTTATGGTGGTTATGAGATCAGTCAAATCTACCAAACCCGTACAAAGATTCATTACTGAAAATAACAGATAATTTTTTTTTCTTAAGAAATGTTTGATAATAATATGGACATTATAAAGATTTCGCATGTGAAATTTGAAAATTTTCTGATGCATAAAAGTATTTTTAATCTTAAAATGAAAATTACTTTGCATTTTAGATAGGCAACATGGTTTAAGACTTAATAAAAATAAATGATATTTTGCATATGAAAGTCTTGTAATGTTTACTGATGTACCAAATTTCATTAATATTCGCTTACTAGTTTAAAAGCTATAGCATGAAAACTATAACAAGGACAAAATGGTTACGAGGTCGTACCCAGAGACTGAGCCTGTGCTGAGTTAAGATATTGATATACATATAGAAATAAAAGCAAAATCCTAAAAGTTATATTGTACTTTTCTGTGGATGGAGAGGGAACAAGTAGGTTTTTATTTGAATTTGTCTCCCACAAAATAGTTTAATTAAAAAAAATTCCACACGTATGTTCTTAGCTTTATTTTTAAACTTTATGAAATGATAGCCAAACTAATTGTGTTGAAATCTACTTATTTAATTTGAAGTCTGATTTTACAGCTATTGTATGATATTTATACAAATTCCTTACAATAGTTCAGTAGCTGTCTGTGATAATATGTGTTGATTTTAAATTAGGAAGTTGATAATAAGTATAACTGTTCTGGGATTAAACAGGACTTGAAATAAAACTTTTAGCTTACTGGTCCAAATAGTTTTTAAACTTTTATATATTTTACAAAAAAAGCAAACTAGAAATAGTTCTACATTCGATTTTTTTGGTTTAGATATGGCTATTGGCTACATAGAACAAGTTTGGTATTCATAATTTCATCCCTCAGAAAAGCAAAAGTTCCGCATATTGTTGTTGTTCCAGTCTGAATGGTGGGAAACACATCGAGCTTTTAAGTCGAACTAGTCAAATGGCAATCAAATAACAAACATAACTCAAATGAACTTGCACTTGGAGACTAATGTATAAAAATTACAGAAATATCAAATGAACTTGTCTACCAGGGAGTTTGTAGTAAGCTATAGGCTGCTTGACAAAATTTTTACTCACCATTGGCAAGAGGGCAACCATTACTTTAAGACCTATTTTGGATAGCATTCTCTTTACCATGCTGACTATACAAAACCTAGTGCTCATTTAGATTATCACTTCCAGAAACACTGTCTCCTAACTTACCTAATAATACAAAACAAATAAAAGGGGAAAATGTTCCACCTCCTTGTTTCATATTGTGACATGAAGTATCTTTTTGCATAAGTAAATCTAATATTATTCATATTACAGTTGTGAGTTTAAATTATAATTAGTTGCATTGTAATTAGTACTCCTATAATTTCTGTGCCTCTTTTTTCTATCATAACATAATATTGATTTAAAAAAAATAATAATATATGGATTCCCAAAATTTAATGTAAGTTTTTCTTTCAGGCTGGACCTTTGGAAGGGGTAACTGTACCAAAGGATAGAGAAGGAAAAAGAAGACCTTATGCTTTTATTACATTTAAACATGAAGAATCAGTGCCATATACAATGGCTCTTTTGGATGGAATTAAATTGTTTGGAAGGCAGTTAAGGTTGCAGCATAGGTCTGGAAGTGATACAAAGCAAAATAAATATTTATTAACAATGGAAGCACATCAGCGTTCTCTTTACCTTGCTGACTATACAAAATCTAGAGATAGTGGAACTGGTGTAGTACAAAAAACTTTCAGTCTTTTTCTCCAGCCAGTCATCATCATCATGTGCCTGGCAGACATAAAAGATATGAAAAAAATTATCAAGATTCACATTTGAAAATGCCCGATTTTGTTGATGAGCAACACATTAATGATGCTCAAAGTCATATCACTCAAAAGGATATTCGGGGTATCTCAAAATTAAGATGCGATATAAATCAAGGACAAAGGTACAATACAATACAAGGCATTGGTCGAAATTCCTCTCATGTAGGTGATTTTCAGCAGATTAATACTACCACATTTGGTCAGATGTCAGTAAATCCCCATCTTCAGATGTTGCATCATGATCCAATGCAATTGTTTCATTTTCAGAACTTACAGTACAATAGGAGTGGAATTCCCATAGCTGCTTCTCATGGAATAAGATCAGCATTCAGGCAGGGTCCTGTTTAAATAATTCTACTGAGTCCCTCCTGTTAGAAGTGACCTTCAAAATTACCAAAAAATAAATGCACAATGATAAAACCATTTGTTTTTAGCTGATAAATTTTACACAACCATATTTTATAATTCTTTTAGAAATCATCTTCATCATAATGTGTACATCTTGGATAGCTAATTTAGCAGTACTCGCTACATTGCATACTCATTTAAGTATATTATGATTGTATAGATTGAAGTGTTTTGTAATATCAAAAAATAAAAGTTTACAGCACTGATAACTATTTTTACATAGTCTTGAGATCATATATCGAGGTTTTTACCAGTAACAGTTCAGTTCCTGTAGATGATAAATATTTGGAGGTTTAATTGGCATACAAGTCATAAATGACATTTGTATAATCTAAATTGTACGTGATTGTATCTTAAATATACATTGAAGCATTTTTATGTTAGTTTTAAGTCATAAGGAAATAACTTAGAACTTTTGTCATGTGTTGCAATTTGAAATGAAACTACTATGTTTTAATAATGTTTTTCTGTCACTTTGGTGGTATGGGGGATTTTGATTTTTTTGTGTGTAGGTAGTTATTAATATAGACCTTATACATTTATTAGTGTTAGAATTGTGCAAAAATAGTTTCATATATAACAAGTTTGTATAAAAATGATTTGTTCTCAGCGTAATAATGAAGTCTTTTTACCACATACTGATATTTGTATGTGAATTAATTAAGAGGGGGTGGGGAGACAATGAAGCATCTTATGATTCTTTGTGTACAGTAGGAATATGATGTTTTTAAGGAATTTGCATTCTATCATGTGGTCAAAAAACATATTACATTAAAATTGGTTATTTAATCTTATTTTAAAATTTTTTTGGAAATGTGAAAAAAAGATTCACCTCTAGATGGCAATTAAACACGATGAAGAGTAATGTAAATTATTTAATAAAACTTTTAACATATCATAACAAAATGTTCAATGATTCACAAATAACAAATTTTTCAGCACATACATTAACTTAAAATGTCTCAATTAACTTCATCAATTTATTACCTACGAGCATTGATTACACCAATTAGTGCAACATAAAATAACTGGTTAATCAAAATTACAGTGAAAACTAATTGAAATTCTAAACATCGAAGTAATGAAAAAATTGCAATTATAATTTGTCATTAATATTTTTTACTAATTCAAGATCAATGATACGTTAATTGAAATTAATGTTTCCAACTATTACTATTTTTGATTATTTCAAATATCAAAGACTTGTAAGAATAGTTGATTACTTGAATGTAATTAAATTAATGAACCTGACAGTTAATTGATTAACAAATTCCACTAGTCATCCAG